GTTATCTATTCGTTGATGGAAATTCTTTATGTTGATGCTCTTTACTTTTTGATATATATATATATATATATATATATATATATATATATATATATATATATATTTTGCCAATCAGTTTGAGCTTATAAGGTTGCTCAGGTTAGCCTTGAACTCATGACCTCGCCTTCACAAGTGCCACGACCTCTGGCAGGAGCCACTTTGGACCCCACTTTTTGGTATATTTTTAGAAAGGCAAATACTGGTTGTTTCTTTCTATGTGTAATGATTCTTTCAGAAGCTCTTGTAGAGCAGGCCTGGTGGTAATAAAATCTCTGAGTACTTGCTTGTTCATAAAAGATTTTATTTTTCCTTCAGTTGTGAAGCTTAGTTTGGCTGGATATGAAATTCTGGGCTGAAAGTTCTGTTCTTTAAGGGTGTTGAATATTGGCCCCCACTCTCTTCTGGCTTGTAGGGTTTCTGCTGAGAGATTTGCTTGTAAGTCTGATAGGTTTCCCTTTGTGGGTAACCTGACCTTTCTCTCTGGCTGCCCTTAGTATTTTCTCCTTCGTTTCGACCCTGGTGAATCAAATGATTATGTGCCTTGGGGTTGCTCTTCTTGAGGAATATCTTTGTGGTGTTCTCTGTATTTCCTGGGGTTGAATATTGTCCTGCTTTGCTAGGTTGGGAAAGTTTTCCTGAATAATATCCTGAAGAGTATTTTTCAGCTTGGATTCATTCTCTCCGTCGCATTCAGGTACACCTATCAAACGTAAATTAGGTCTTTTCACATAGTCCCATATTTCTTGGAGACTTTGCTCATTCCTTTTTATTTTTTTTTTCTCTATTCTTGTCTTCTCATTTTATTCCATTAAGTTGGTCTTCGAGCTCTGATATCCTTTCTTCTGCTTGATCAATTCGAGTGTTTAAACCTGTGCGTACTTCTCGGAGTTCCCATATTGTATTCTTTAGTTCCATTAATTCACTTACATTCCTCTCTAAATTGTCTATTCTCATTAGGATTTCGTCAAACCTTTTTTCAAAGTTCTTAGTTTCTTTACATTGGGCTACAACATGTTCTTTTAACTCACAGAAGTTTCTTATTATCCACCTTCTGAAGCCTGATTCTGTTAATGGAATGCACTCATTCTCCATCAAGCCTTGTTCCCTTGTTGATGAGGAACTGTGATCCTCTTTAGAGGGAGAGGCATTCTGATTTTGCGTATTCTCAGCATTTTTACGCTGGTTTCTTCCCATCATTGTAAATTTATCCACCTGTCATCTTTGTAATTACCAACTTTCAAATTAGGTCTCCGAGTGGACGTCCAAGTTGTTAATTCCCAGGGCCGAAATATGAGCAACCCACTGCACTGGCCAAAACAGCGGCATTAAGATTGATGGTGCTTTTCTGCCCAGGAATCTCCAGTCTGGCTTCCTTCTTGAGTCTGTAATAGGCGACTCTGCCTTCCCGGAGCTCCAAACGTCAGTCAAAAGGGAAACCAGTCCCATTTACTCTGCACCAAGAGCTGCCATGCCAAGGTGCCAGCAAAACTGCTGCACCAGCCACGAGAGTGGCGCTGGCAACCTGTGGGGCTCCTCCACTGGGAATCTTCTGGTCCGTGAGCAACAAAAATTTGTCTGAAAGTGTGGCGTCCTCTTGTTCTCTGTGCTTTCACTGGGAGCTGCAATCCCGAGATGTTAGCTGCAATCCAGCCATCTTGGATCGTTCTCCCAAAATTGAAAAAATTAGCTGGGCATGGTGGTGGGCACCTGTAATCCAAGCTACTCGGGAGGCTAAGGCAGGAGAATCACTGGAACCTGGGAGATGGAGATTGCAGTGAGCCAAGATTTTGCCATTGCACTTCAGCCTGGGCGACGAGAGTGAAACTGTCTTGGAAAAAAAAAAGTCTATTCAAATCATTTGCCAGTTTTTGAATTGAGGTCTTTGATTTTTGTTGTTCAGTTATAGAAGTTTAAAAAAACGTATTCTGGATACCAACCTCTTATCAGATGTATGATTTACAAAGAAAAAATAGTTCAGAGAGTATAAAAAGATCAAGTATTTTTTTAAAGGACAGATAAAAGTATATAACTCCGAAACACATCATTGCTCCATGCGTAAACTTGAGACTCTTGTGCCTATGTTGACTTTGATTCTTTTCACAGTACATTGAAATTCTCAATTGACCGGGTGCAGTGGCTTATGCCTGTAATCTCAGCACTTTGGGAGGCCAAGGTAGGTGGATCACCTGAGGTCAGGAGTTCAAGACCAACCGGCCAGTGTGGTGAAACCCCTGTCTCTACAAAAAATACAAAAATTAACTGGGTGTGGTGGGGGACATCTGTAATCCCAGCTACTCAAGAGGCTGAGGCAGGAGAATAGCTTGGACCTGGTAGGCAGAGGTTGCAGTGAGCCAAGATTGCACCATTGCACTCCAGCCTAGGCTACAAGAGTGAGACTCTTGTCTCAAAAAAAAAAAAAAAAAAGAAGCATTGTTGAATCACACCATACACAGGAAAGGGCATGAGTGCAAGTGTCCTGTGGAGGGATTTTCAGAGACTGACCTCTTATAAACCTGGCACCTGCGGGTTCCATGCATGCCCTATTCCTGACACTAACTCCCCCAGGATAACCCTGCCTGCTTTCTAAAGCATGATGGCTTCGTGTGGGGAGTTTTAGCTGAGTGAAACCATATGGTGTGCAAGCAAGCTTTGGCCTGGTGCCTCGGTCTGTGCTGTGTCTGTGTGATGCACCCATCTGGCATGCGGTCTATACTGTTCATTCTTGCTGTCGTTTGTTATTCCACTGTGCGAAGACACTGCAGTGTTTCTAATCCATTCTACTGTGGGTGGCATTTGGGTGGTTTCCATTTGAGGCTGTTGCAGATAGAATTGCTGTGCACCTCCTGGTGTATGCACGCATTTTGGAGCTCACAGGTTCCCCCTCTGGTTGGCGGTCACCCTGGCAGTGGAATTGCCTTCCCATGAGATGTGCACATGTTCGTCTCTCATCGACCTTCTGGGAAACTGTGCAACCCTGCTGTACCAATTTGCACTCCCAGCAGCTGCTGGGTGGAAGTTCAGGTTGCACCCTGGTGCTGCCGGTCCTTCAAACTGTCTGCCATTTTCACATGAACCATTGTGTGCGGTTTTTAATGTGCATTTCTCTGGTGACAAGTGGAGATAAGCCCTTTGTCATACGTTTGTTGTCTATTTTGTAAAGTGTCCATGCAAGGTTTTTGCCAAGTATGGGACCATCTGCCTTTCGTTCTGAATGATAGGAGCTCTTTACTGTGGTTGTGACCCATTACTGGATATGTTCATGTGTTGTGGATGTCTTCCCCCACTATGTGTAATCTTTCCATTTTGTGGTGGGGGAGCTGAGACCCAGAGAGGAGGTGTATACCCCATCATGAGGGGTCACAGCCACAGTCAAGCTTGGAGAAGCCCGGCCCTCCTTGGGAGCTGTAGGCCCCAGGAGGCCCCTGCAGGATCCTCTCCCTCTTTTTTTTTTTCTTTTGAGGCAGGGTCTCACTCTGTCGCCCATGTCACTCCAGGCTAGAGTGCAGTTGTGCGATCTCAGCTCACTGCAACTTCCGCCTCCCAGGTTCAAGTGATTCTCCTGCCTCAGCTTCTCAAGTAACTGGGACTGCAGGCATGCGCAACCACACCCGGCTAATTTTTATAATTTTAGTAGAGATGGGGTTTGGCCATGTTTGCCGGGCTGGTCTCAAACTCCTGACTTCAGGTGATTCGCCCGCCTCAGCCTCCTAAAGTGCTGGGATTATAGACGTGAGCCACTGCGTCCAGCCTCCTCCCCCTCTCTTGGGCCTCCCTCTTTTTTTCTCTCTCTCCTTGGTCACCCCACAGTGCAGAAACATTCTTCAATGACTCCCATCACAAAATGCCCTACAGGCACCATCCCTGCTCCCTACAACCTCCTCCCACCCCACCGGTCCCAGCAGGTCTCACCCCAGAGTGTCTGCCTGGGCCCTCTCTTGCTTCCTGGGCTCTGTCCTCGCCACAACCATGCAGGCAGGCATTGGTGAAGCATCTGCCATCAGACACTGAGGGTGGCCCTTCCTGCTCTCTGCTCTCCTCCTTGGAGGGGCCTCCTCAGCCTCCTGACACCAAGAGCCCACTGTGCACCCTGGGCCTGCTTCTTTTGCCTTGCTCCATTTCCTTAGAGAGAAAGGTCACATATGGCAAGTCCTGTCTGTTGACCATTTTCCGCCAGCCTCTGCCATCCCTTCTCCTGCAGTTGTGTCATGATGGGGCTCGGGCTGGAACCATCCTATCAGACAGAATCTGCACCAAGTCCCATGGGTTCCCTGCCCACTGATGAGGCTGTGGGCTGGCAGAGTCAGGCCTTGCTCCTCCCTCCAGCATTGGCTCACAGAAGCTCTCAGATTAGAGCAGCCCTTCTGGGGTTCTTCCAGGCCACCCTGCCCCTGCCCGTCCCAGTCCACATGCCACCACTGTGATGTCTGTTGATGTGGAATGGCCCTCGGGGCCTCCTCAATGCTGCCTGCATGCAGAAGGGGCTCCGTCTTGTTGATTGAACAGATGACAGGAGGATGCTTGTTTTCTTGGGATTCCTTTTTTGGCCTAAGGGATGGAGATGGTCCACCCATGATGTCAGGGACTTCCCTGTTTGGGGGCCCTGCCATACTCGCAGTCTCCTGGGCTCTCCTGGGATCCCCTGGCACTCCCCCTACCCTCAGGCTGGGCACAGGCAGCACCTCTTTTTCCCTCAGCACATCCCAGAGCCTGGCATTTGCTAAAAAGCTCAACTAAGAAATGGAGGGAACACTAGAGACCTTAATAAGTCAAGGACATCTGGATTGGGAACTAGACTGAATCCCAGCACCTTGGAGGCCAAGGCGGGGAGGATCACTTACAAGGTGGGAGGTTCAAGATCAGCTGATAGCATGGCAAGACCCCCATCTACATTTCAATTTTTTTTTAAAGTTAAAAAAAAAAAAAGAACAAAACTTCTGGTGGGATGCAGCATTAGGCTGGGGATTCTGGCCAAGGTATCCAGCCACCCTGGGGACCACAGGCAGTGCCTTCTCCCCACCGGGACCAGGAGGGCAAGGCCTGGAGTCCCCTGCTTATTCTTGTGGGTCTGTGACTGCCAGCCTGGAGGCTCTGCCCAGGGTTTCCTTGGGAGCTCTGTGGAGTGGGACTTCAGGGCCCCATCCTCAAGATTGTCATTCAGGAGGTCCCTCCTGGGTCTGGGCTTCTAACATTGCTCAGGTGACAGATGAGCACCACTCACTCAGACAGTGCAGATGCCTGACACACATCTTGCTTCCCATACTCCATCCTGGAAAAGCACAAGGTCCCCTCCTGTCCCCGAACAATGTGTGTCCCTCCCTGTCTTGGTCTCCACCACCCATGTCCAGAGTCTCCGGGGGTCCTCTTGTCTGCCCGTTAAATGGCACCTGGTTCCTGATGGGGCTGTCCAGCTGGAGACTGGACTGCCACTCACCTGTCGGCCCCAGCATCTTCACCAGGCTCTCCTACTTCACCAACTGGATCAGCCAGAAGAAGAGGGAGAGCCCCCCGCCCAATCCCGCCTTGGCTCCTCCTCAGGAAACACCCTCAGGCCTGGACAGCATGACCTCTCAGCCACCTGTTCACAAGCCCCGGCTCTGTGCAGCTCTGCTGGCTGCTCACACCTTCTTCCTGCTGCTGATTCTCCTGGGGAGCCTGTGAAGGGCTGGGGCCCCTGGCCTCTTAACACAAGCATGCCCACCTCAGGCCGGCCTCCTTGCTGAGCTCTGCATGCTCCTGACATGTTTCCATCTCTGGGCTCTCCTGTCTGCCCAAGGCCACCCCTGCCTCAGGCCTGACAAAATAAAAACCACCCAAGAAGCTACTTGCTCTGGTTTCTGGCCCACCAGAGTCTCTCCCATGCTTCACTGTGCCTCCAGCTCCTCAGGGAGGGAAGGTCTCCTTCCTCCCTGGGCGGGGGCCAGGCTGGCCATTTGGGAGGGAAGTCACTCTCCTTGGGGAGTTGGGTCGTGCAGACTCAGGCACCATTCCTGCCATCAGGGGTGTACGGTCTTCCGGAAAAATGGGGCCAAGGGCCGCCCAGCATGGAAGAAGCCACCTGTCTCCCTGGAGCTGGGTGCGGGGCACCGGTCAGGGCTGAAGCCGCTTCTTCCAGGCATACAAGTCACAGAAGCTCTCCTTGACAGCTCACAAGTAGACTGTGAAGGGGGCTGAGGGCTGTGTCAGCAATCCCAGAACTCTGTCCCAGGGGTCAGCTCTCAGCCGATTGCCCACTGTACCCGCAGCCCTGCCTTCTCCCTGCCTCCAGAAACCCAGGCCCCCATCCCTGGGGCTTGCTCCAGCTTGTAGTGGTTGTGGTTTGGCTGACACGGGACTTGCTGCTCCTGCACTGAGCCCACACACCAGCCTCCGAGCTGCCCCTGCACCTGCCTGAGTCAGGTTTGTATCCTCAGCAGGACTCTCAAAGGGCCTCACACCACAGCTCTCCCCCAAACCCCAACTTGAACTCACAATAAGAAGAGGGCAGCCCCAGGTCACCGCAGGAGCACTGTGTTCCAAGTGCCATCCAGGTGTTCTGTGCAAATTCTTTCCAATCCTGTTGTCACCCAGATAGCCCAGGCCCTCCGTAGCAGGTGGGAACAAATGAGGCCTCATGGGCACGACTGGCAGAATCTCTTGGTCTTGAAGCCGTCTGCTGCAAATGCAGAGGTTTCCTTTCCTGCTCGGAGCCTTCCTTCCCTCCTTCCCAGTGAGCTGCCACTGAGCCAGACACCTGTGCCCAGCACAGTAGCTGGCTTTACAAGCTCGGCCATGTCTGGAAGTGAGAAGAAAGCATTTCCGCCACTGATGGCAAACTCAGTTATGGGGCTGCAGAGTGGGACTGCTGGGCCCTGAGGTGGGAATCAGCACTTGATCAATTCAGGTTTAGAGCATTAGCCACCTGCTGTCGCCAGACCTGCCCCTTTCCTTCAGCCCGTGGTGGTCTCATGCTGGCTGGGCTAGAGCTCCCTCACTTGGTGACTCGTGCTTTGTCCAGCAGCAGGCATGTTCCTGCGTGGAGTGTGGAGTTACGTGATGGCCTGCCTGTCCGTGAAGTTCCTCTGGCCTCCTCCGATTCTGTGGCTGCAAATCCACAGCGAGGAGCTCCGCAGGCCTGCTGGAGCACAGTGCTGGTCTGTTCCAGCACCTGGAACCCACCTTCATGCTCAGGACCGCTAGCTGCATTCAGTCTCTTTTTATAGATGTGGAACCCAGCATACTTAGGAACTTGTCTAAGGTCACGTGGTAATAAATACTGGAACAGGGATTCAAACCCACATCTCCAGAGAGAGCTCAGAAGCCTCATGCTTCCCACCAGTGCAGCTGTTCCCAGACACTCGGGCCATGTCTCACCATCTCAGACGGCCTTGAGAGGCTCTAGCTGGCCTGCCTCTAGTGTGGCCAGATTCTCTCTGGTCAGTGGCAAGGGAGGATCCCAGGTAACAGGACTGACTTCAGGGACAAGAACAGACCTGCAGGGTCAGTGATCCAGGCTCAGCAAAGGCTGGGACTGGCCCCTGGGTGGCTTTCACCAGACCAGTCGTCAGGAACTCCAGGCCTCCAAGTATTGTGCTGCACGGGCTGCTGCCTCCAAAATCGACCCTGGGTGAGCTGTGGAGGTGAGAAGACAATGTGGATTTCAGAAACTTACCAAAATCAGTGAGAAAATCCCGGAGAAACTGAAGTTATCCTGAGCGGCCGTAGCTGGGGATGGAGGATGGGGCAGCTAGGGACCGGACTTAAGAAGGCTGTTCACACTCCGCTCTTGTCACTTGCCTCCCACACCTTGTGACAAACGCTGCCTGGTCTTGTTCAGGTGCCAGGATTGCAAGGTGGCTGTCTCAGCCAGCGTGAGGGCCCCACCAGCCACTGATATTGCGTGCCCTCCATCCTCCTGCAACCCTGCTGGGTGGGACAGTTGCATCCAAGGAAATGGGCCCCTTCCACTGTGATCTCTTCCAGGGTTTTCGATGGAAGACCTGCCTGCAGGAGCGGCTTGTGAGGTTGCAGGATGCAGGAGAGAGTGAGTGTGGTGCTTTGTGCCTGGGGCCCTCTGCCCTGGGGTCACTCTCCTCATTAACTCATTGGGAGCCTTCCTGGTGCAGACAGGGTGACCAGGAGCTGCGAAGCCCAGGGAATGCACACACGTGCACTGGAGCCCGATCGCCACCGAAACATAGTAGGCTGCATAGCATCCACTACTGGAAGTAGAGTTATTGGAAAAGACAGACTAACATATTTAATAAATACAATAAATACCTTTTTACATACAGAAAAATATTATTAGCAATAAGACCTAAGACAAAGAAACTACAGAAAAGAACCAAGTCAAACTATTACATAGGAAAAATGTAATCAGGCCGGGCACGGTGGCTTATACCTGTAACCCCAGCACTTTGGGAGGCTGAGGCGGGTGGATCTCCTGAGGTTAGGAGTTTGAGACCAGCATGACAGACAAGGTGAAACCCCATCTTTACTAAAAATACAAAAATTATCCAGGCTTGGTGGAAGGCACTTGCAGTCCCAGCTATTTGGGAGGCTGAGACAGAATTGCTTGAACCAGGGAGGTAGGGGTTGCAGTGAGCTGAGATATTGCCACTGTACTCTAACTTGGGTGATGGAGCAAGACTCTGTCTCAAAAAAAATGTAATCATTGAATTAAATACTGCATTAGATTGGGTAAACAGGGTAAATGCAGATGAAAGAGGAAGCTAGTCATTACCTTAAAGATATGGATGTTGGTCGGGCGTGGTGGCTCACACCTGTAATCCCAGCACTTTGAGAGGCCTAGGCAGGCAAATCACGAGGTCAGGAGTTCAAGACCAGACTTGCCAATGTGCTGAAAAATACAAAAAAATACAAAAAATGCAAAAAAATTAGCTGGGCATGCTGGCTCATGCCTGTAATTCCAGCTACTTGGGAGGCTGAGGTAGGAGAATTGCTTGAACTGGACCTGGGAGGCAGAGGTTGCAGTGAGCTGAGATTGCACCACTGCACTCCAGCCTGGGCTACAGAGCAAGACTCCATCTCAAAAACAAAAGATAATGGATGTCACAGTGTGGACTTTGGAGCTGGTCCACTTTAGTTGGGAGAATTTATAGAGCATTTGTTCACAGAAGTACTAATCACCCAGGTATGTTTGGGCAGAAGGGACTGGAAAAGCCAAGGGCAAGGGCCTGGCACAGGCAGCAGAAGCAGAGCTCTTGCCAGAAGAGGTCCTAAGAGACCAGTGGAGTGGTAACTATGGGGATAGGGTCCCCAGAAGGAGCAGGGACCCTCGGCCGAGGGACTCAGTCAGCCAAGGCAGCCTCACAAAGAGGGTTTTCACAGAAACAAATGCACTGACCACTTCATTCCCACATCTTCGGCTGAGGCTCCCATGGCAAGCGGAGAGACAGCCACACATTGCCTCGATCACTTGGACCCACAGGGAGGCAAAGTGAGCCAGGTAAGCCTCCCTGCTTGCAGGGATGGAGTCCTGACAGGAGGGCCAGCCCTGACAATATCTAACCACGCCCAGTGCTTGAGTGGGGTTGCATCCTCTTGACTTCGAGGGATTGGGAGGGTGGGATGGTCCTGCAGGCGAGGGGTTTCTTCACAAAGAGCACAGTGGAGCAGCCCCTCCGGGTGAGGAGCCCTAGGCAGGCTTGGCTGGGAAGGGGGTGTTTGTGGGATGGGCATCCTCCTGCAGCCCCTCCCAGTGAGGAGCCCTCGGCAGGCTTGGCATTGCTGGGATAGGCTTCACTCCCTGCAGATGTGCTCAGGACAGGCCTCCCTTGCCTGTACCAACCTTTGCCATTCTCTTGCCTTCTCCTCTCCAATGGCCACAAGAGATACCAGCCTGTCCAGCACTCTCTAGGCTTTGTTGGTTTTCCCAAAATGCCAAAAAGAACACTGGGGGAGTCTTGGGGATGAGTGGACGTCTCTGCCTTCCTGTCTTCCTCTTTCCTGAGCCACACCCGTGGCCCTCTTCCTCTTCCTTGCCACCCTCAGAAACATCCTTAATCCCTTCTCTTGAGTTGTGACAGGAGGATTTCTGGAGCCAGACTCCTGCTGGAGCTGACCTGACAGCTGGGGGGAAGAGGACACTGTGCCTGTCCACACCCCTTCACTGCAGGGGCCCCCCGGGAGGCACCAGGCTAGAGCCAGACTTCACTGAACGCTGGTCTCCCTCCACCCACAGGGTCCTAGCTCTTCAGCCCAAGCCTGGCTTTCCAGTCTGGCACACAGGGCCACTGAACACCATTCAGTGGTATAGCCAGGAGTTCAGAAACCAGGGCGATGCTGAGGAAATGGGTGAGGGGCAGGGAGAGAAGTCACAGACAGTGAAGACCCAGTCATGCCCACTGCCTGGGGAGGCCAGGTCCTCAGGGGAGAAGGGGGCTGGGGAAGAGCAGCAAGAAGCACTCATGAATGAGGAAGAGAAAAGAGTGAGAAGGAGACAGAAAGAATACATCGAATGAGGCCTCTCTCTGTTTCTGAGCCCAAGGACAAAGTGAAGGGCAGTGCCCCAAGCAGAGACAGAGCAGCTGCTGGGAGAGGATCCAGCCCAGCAGCCACTGGACTCTGGCACTGTTGAGCAGGTGACATGGAGCTGGAGTGACTGAGGGGTTGAATGTTTCATTTCATTTCATTTTCATTCACCTAAATGTAAGTGGGCTTATGTGCCTAGCAGCAACCACAGCAGATAGTGCAGGTCCAGGGACGCAAAGCCAAGGAGGACACAGCCCTTGCTGCCCTGGTCTGCCTTGCAGGGTTGTTCACTGCCTGAGCTGATGGCCCATCCAGTAGGATTCCCTGAGCACAGGAGAACAGGGCAGGCACTGTGTGGCCCTGGGGATGCCTGGACAATAAGGTCAACATCCGGGCCCTAGAGGTGTGCCCAGCAGGGCCCACTGACAACACAGGTGCAGAACAGGCCACACAAATTATGTGATGGGCACAGTCAGAGCAGCTGGGGCTGAGGGGAGGAGACCCTCCCTGTCATCAGGAGCCCACTGTCATCACCTTTGACTGCATGAGAGCTGGGCATTCCCCAGCTCAGCGTGGAGCCCACAGCCTGGACATCTGAGAAGAGGTCCTTTCCGTGTTTGAGCTGAACTCCAGTGCAGAGGTGTGTTTGGCAGATGCATGCCAAACTGAGTACTGGATGGGGAATGATGAGGAGGACACAGTCACTGCCCTGTGCAGGATTCCTGTCCCTGCGAGTGAGAGGATGCAGGGACTGAGCCTGTGTGTTCCAAGACCCTTTCATAGAAACTCTCAAGTAGACATCTTCTGGGCCACAAAGGGAGCAGTGAGGCCCAGTTCCACCCAGGCTCAGCCCATACCTTGCCCCGCATTGGAACCCCGTGCCCCTCATCTCTGCCATTGGAACGTGGGTTGCGGTACCCCTCGCTGCAGATGTAAGATTCCCTACAGTGTA